TATGCTATACGAATTTATTACTCCCCCGCTCGCCGCTCGCTGGCTCGCTCTGGGCGCCGCTGCCTGTTCCGTGTGCGCCCGAGCGCGAGGGTGCGCGAGTGTGCGGGCGGGGACGCCGGCGAGACTCTTTTGTTTCCGCTTTTGCTTCTGGGAAGGAGCCTGCGCCCTCCCCGCCGCGCCGCGCCCCGCCCCGCCGGGCACACTGGGAAGTGTAGTCCCGGCCCCGTCCCCGCTGTCCGGGGACTCACGGGTGACCTCAACAAGGCAGCCTGGGCTTAGAAGTGCCAGGGTCTGGGCTTGCCTCTGCACTGTGATTTGTAGCAAGTTACTGAAGGGTGACCTCAACAAGGCAGCCTGGGCTTAGAAGTGCCAGGGTCTGGGCTTGCCTCTGCACTGTGATTTGTAGCAAGTTACTGAACCCGAGGCTGTGCATCTGTAAAATTGGGATACCAAATGAGCTCCCAAGTCGCTTAAAGGAATTTCTAAATCTTCACAATTATTCCTTATCCAATAAGTGCTACAGCTGATCTTATTTTGACCTTTACAGATTTCATTGTCTCTTCTCAAATACATGAATTGCCTCAATTTCTCACCCTCCGCACATGCACAGACTCATACCTATTATGATTCCTTACCTCCTCAGTTCTTATTTCAGAGGAAAATGTGCCTCCTCTGTCCACTGCAAACCTTGCATTGCTGCTCTCATGTCTGCTCCTCCTCATAAATTTCCCCCTTCGAACTCCGAATCCTGAGCTTCTCTCGCCTTCCCTTCCTGCTCAGTAGTCTACTCACACTCCCCATCCCCTCGATTCCTATGAACTTGTGTACCCATTAAAACTCGGCTTCTGCCTTCAGCACCAGCAGTATCAGCTTCGGCCGGGGTGACTCTGGAGCTTCTAATTACCAAATTCAACTCACTCCTCATCCTCTCCGATGGTTTTGAACCATTTGATTACTGGCCACCCTTTTGCTTTTCAAAAGGTGCTCACTACCTCTGCTTTCCCCAGCACCCTTGTAGTTGGGTCTTTTGCTTCTCTGACTTCCCCTTTTCTGTCACTAACTCCTCTTCTCAAACTTTGGAGTGCCCCAGAGTTCCAAGCCTTGACCTCTCACCACCACCATCTTCCTAGGAGGTAGATCTGGTGCCCTCCTCTGAACTGGGAGACAGCCCAGCTGGTCAGAGGAGATCAGGCTTTGTACAGGGACCACCATCCCTCTGGCCCCTATGGGCCAAGCCACTTAAGCTCTCTAAAGCCTCAGTTTCTGTGAGTAGAGATACTAACCTTTAGATGTACTACTGTAAGAATTAACTAGTAATAGTATATAGAATGTGCCCATCACAGTACCCAATATGCTGAAAGTGCTCTATAAATAGCATTTCCTCACTTATTTTTATGTACATGGTGACTGTAAAATCTTTCTTTACAGCCAGAGTTCTCACATTAGCTTTGGTCTTATATTTCCAAAAGCCTACTGGACATGTCTGCCTTCCTTCCCTGTGGCTAGGACTCAGAGTCTGTTGCTACAAGGTGAGGGTGGGGGAAAGCTTACCAGGAAGCCAAAAACAGTAGCTACCATTGCATTCCAAAGGCTTACAAAGAGCAAAGAACAAATATCCACTCATGTAACTTAAAAGAAAAATGGAGAATGGGGTAGTGGAAGAACGTAGAAATAATTCATGAGAACTGAGACTTAACATGGAAGCCCACGTCATTCTACATAGAGTGGATGCATGTACAAACTAAGATGTCCCCCGCAAACTGAGATGGGTCTGGGGCCTGGCTACTACTCTCTTTCCTTTTCACTGAATCCTGATCCTCTCTGCACATTGGCCCACCCTCCTTTTTGGGTCTCCCCTTAGCTTCTCTTATACACAGCTTGGGATTGCCACAGCCTTTACTCCTCTTTGTGATACTTTTCCAGCAACTGCTCCTGTTACTAAATGGCAAAGCCTTTTGGTACAAGCTATTTCATCTCCCCCCAAAGAACAATCTCATTGATGCAACTCATACTTTTACTCCAGGCTATAAATTGTCAGCTAGTGAACAAACTGCGGGTTGACTGCTCTTGGGTTAGGTGACCAGCCATATTCTAATCAGCTGTGGAAAGTTTGGAAGTACTGTTTGGCAAAAGGGCTTCTAGAAAACACCAGCAAGGTCTTGCCATCCTGCAGAGGGGCTAGTTTGAAGAACCATTTTTGTGCTCCAGAAAGAGGAACACTAATTCCTTATCACTCTTCCTTTTTTAAAGACAAGCATGGGGCCGGCCCGGTGGTGCACTGCTTGCTCCCGCCGAGGGTTCGGATCCCACATACAGACCGGTTCCCGCTCACTGGCTGAGCGAGGTGCGGGTGCAGCACTGAGGGTTGCGATCCCGTTGCCGGTCCCGGTCCGGTACGGGCGCGACACTGAGGGTTGCGATCCGTTGCCGGGCACGAAAAAAGACAAAAAAGGAAAAAAAAAAATAAAATAAATAATAAAAAAATAAAGACAAGCATGATGGGGTCCATGCAAGTAGGGGGCAGACTGTGCTCAGGCACCAGCTGCTTTGAGGAGTTGCATTCCCATGTGGATAGCATTTGGGTACCATGCCAGAAGTGAGGCCAGGTTCAGGTGCTACCACTGTGGGGAAGCACTAGGTAGCTCATTCCCAGGCAACTCAGAAAAACCTCTGGGGTCATTCAGTGGACAATATAACAAAAATACACAATTAAGCAGGGGCTATGGATAGGGCAGTTTTGTTCAAAAGGCACTGAGGGCCCAGGATGCTGGCAACAATTTCTCCCTATTCCAGGATATCCTACATACTACTAAATGACACAGTGATTATACCACTTTGTTGCTTAAAAACCTGTATAGATTTGTGTCATGGAAGCCTCAGCTTAGAACAAAACAACCATTCCAATTTGTCTCCAAACTCCTCCTTTTCATCTTTAACTCACATTATGGTTAATGAAGGTCATGTGCCTTTGTACATGCATTCACTCTATGTAGAATGACCTTCCACCATTCACTCGAGAAACTTCTAAAGATCCTTCAAGACCCAACTCAAATGGTACATGCCTTAAGATGCCCTTCCCGGGCCGGCCCGGTGGCGCACTGAGGGTTCGGATCCCACATACAGACCGGTTCCCGCTCACTGGCTGAGTGAGGTGTGGGCGCAGCGCCGAGGGTTGCGATCCCGTTGCCGTCCCGGTCCGGTACGGGCGCGACACTGAGGGTTGCGATCTGTTGCCGGACACGAAAAAAGACAAAAATGAAAAAAAAAAAAAAAAAAAAAAGAGGCCCTTCTCTACCTATTCACTGGGGGCAATTTTTTAATATCTGTATTTTTCTTTTTATTCCTGAAGCAAGAT